GTGGGGCCGCAGAGCCCAGCTCAATTCGAGTTGCCAGGGTGCAGTGCTTCGTGCTGATGCTTAGGGTTTAGAGGTAGGCACTTCTGTCTATGGTGCCTTGGCACAGCAGTTCATGCCATGAGAAGTGTGGTGGAAGTTTTAGGGTCATCACCAAAGCGCGAGGGGCTCAGGGTGTCAAACCAAGAGCAGCAGAGTTCTGGCCTTTTCCGGAGAAAGAAAACCATCTGCATTGTAGCAGCAAAAATGAGTTTCCAATAATATCCCTGAGAGATCCTCCATGAATGTGTTCTGAAGCATAACCCTACGTCATACTTCTAAAGGCCCCTATATGAGCCACAGCTCGAAGAAGATGCCAAGAGGTGCATCGGTCCCTGGCGACAAGATCTTGCAAGTATTTCACGAGTTGAAGCGGAGGAAAAATCGGGGAGCGGTTCTTCACAAAGCGCTCCCAAACCCAGCGGCAGTTACAAGTTTTTGTCCAGTCTATATTTGGGCGGTTGTCAAAATTATGGTCCCTCTGTGGGTACCCTAAATAATAGGTGCCGTATTAGAATAATGAGCCCAAAAGGACCCTAATTTTGACAACCACCCATTTGGGTCCCTTGCTTGCTTATACTCCCCATGGCAGCGTGAATGTCCGGCTGACCACATCTGCAGTGATGCACTATACAATCAAAGGTATGAAGTCTAGTATCCAATATGTAAGATGCCATCGTATAAGTTATATGTCATAAATCCATAATTGATAACAAATACAACGTGGGTGGGCTCGGGAGCTACTTGTGCTTTTGATGGTCGGGTGTTGTTACGGTGTTGTTTCTTGGGGTTTTAGGGCTTTTAGGGTTTGGGGCCATTCTTTGTTGTTGTGCTCGCCCGACTTTTGACTTCGATGACATAAACCAGGTCATCATCGTCTACATCTTCTCGATTGCCTTCACCCAGCTGGCTCAAGGGACCGTGCCGGGGCAGCATCTTTGCGTCCTTAAACTTACCACAGCCTAAGCCGGTGTTTGGAATCTGTCCTGGCTTTCCCTGATCATCTTGTCATATCCTGCCCCAAACCCTAAAACACTTAAACCCGGCCCTAAACCCCCAAACCCTAAATTCCTAACCAACAAGAATGCTGGGGGAGGCCATGGTCTTCTAAACCTTAAGCATGTATTTAGTACAGGGGCCGAAATCATTACCTATATTATACTGTTTTGGGAGGGTTCCTTCTTCGAATTTCAGTATAATATCACCAATACTCTACTCTAATTAATCATTCAGGCCTTATAGTACCAACACCCATAGGAGCCCAAGCCAGAGCAACTGCTATGTGGGTGGTTGTCAAAGTTATGGTCCCCTATTGGGTCTTCAATATCAGACGACACCGAATATTCAGGTTACCCAAAACGGGACCATAATTTGGAGAACTACCCATGTTTCCCACCCCCCCCCTGCCTCCCCCCCCCCCCACACCCTCAGTTCTACCAACCTCAGACCCTAAACCTGTACCTGGAGTATCGTTCAAGCTACTGTAGCTTGAGAATTTGCTAAGGGTAACCTAGAACAGAAGCTAGATCCAAGAGTCTTAGTAGGTCCTGAACATTAGCGTTTGACGGCCGTACATCCGCATGCAGTTAGCCTCCACATGCGTGGGTGGTAGGAATTGAAATTCCAGAAGAGCAGTCGTTGTGCACCCACTGGATCACCAAGGTGATGGGCTCTGTCTACTTTCCGACTGCCTGGGTGCCTACTGACACGGAAGTTCCAAGCTAGACTACAACCCAAGGTAGAACCCTAGATAGATAATGAGATCCTGATGATGAAAAACTACAAAGAGACCATAACATGATGAAGATTTAATGCTCCACTTCCAGCATACACTTCCACGAAAGTTCGTCTGTTACAAAACGAACCCCCTAAGACTAAGCTCCTGTAGCCTAAATCCTCAGCCATGAAAGTCAAGCTCCGTCAGGCTTCCAATTGGGGGATGTTGAAGGTGGAAATTGGGCTTCTGGGATTCGTCAAGGAGAGGCCATACAGCATCAGGTCTTCATCAGGAGAGGGTGAGGTTGCATTCCGGATCAACCTCACTCTCCTCCAATATGTGCGAGTTTCCGAGATGTTGGGCCCCGATCAGTGTGAACCTTTAGAGTGCGAAACCGTAGGATGCTCAAAACTCAGACTTTAAGAGGGAAGCATCCCATGCTAACCTCTGCTTTATTCTCCTTCGTTGCCGAGGTTGGTGAAGAAACCGTCCGCTTCCGACACATGTTGTTCCCTTGTTTTGGTTTGCGGTTTCAGGCCCCAGCTCTCAGCAATTAAGCCGTACCAAAATCACGTAAACCGCAGGCCCCTAAAGTATGCTTGATTCAGACTCGGGTGGCGAGACAGCAGCTAGCTCCATCTCGAAGAACAAGTAGCACAATTTATTGTTTGTAGCAGTTGTAAACATACACATATATATATATGGTCACCCCCCCCCCCCCATGACAGACCATCCCCTTTAAAACATCGCTCCCACCGGCGTGTTCGTGCTTTTTCCGGAGTATCGAGTTTGAGCCCTCCGAACGTATCCCTGGAACCACCAAAAGACTGAGACCAGAAAGCAGCACGATAAGGCGCGCGGGTGTCCTACCAAGAAAGGAATTACAGAGCACACGTGTATGGATGAGGGTTGTGCTGACACACTACATAGTAAGCACTACACAGTAATCTTACTTGAGTCATATATAGAGCAGATTCCAGCATTTCCAAAATTTCCAAAATTTCCAAAATTCTCTCCCCTAACTTTCCAGATTTCCAAAATTTCCAAAAAAATTTCCAAAATTTCCAAAATTTCCAAAAAATTTCCCGACCTAGTCGACAGGATTTTTCCAAAACATAAGGGCGGACTTTTTGGAAATTTTGGAAATTTTGGAAAGTTTGGAAATTTTGGAAATTTTGGAAATTTTGGGAAATTTTGGAAATTTTGGAAATCCGGAAAGTTAGGGGAGAGAATTTTGGAAATTTTGGAAATTTTGGAAATGCTGGAATCTGCTCTATATATGACTCAAGTAAGATTACTGTGTAGTGCTTTTAACACTAACGTTGACATGTATATTAATGCTTTCATTTCGAATATGCACATTACTAATTCTATTATTAACATTAATACTCCTACGCCTACCAATAGTCATATTCATATTGATATTAATGCCAATACTAACAGACACCTGCGTATATTAATGTCCGCAGATATACATACCACTATCTGAAAAGCAAATATATCAATGCATTCGTGTACTAACGTAGTATATTCGTATTTAATTTGTCATATACCCAGTTTCAACGTGACAATATACTACTTGTTAACGTCTGATTATACTGTATTGATATGCTAACTTGCTAAGACACGAACACTGTAATACGCAAGTACACTGACACATGGCAATGGTATACTAACATATGGATATACCAAAAAAGTTGTTAGATAATCTACGAATATGATAAGTGAAGTAGCATACCAGGATACTCATACACTAATATGTTAAGAATCGAAGATAATAGCACACCAATGTACTAATGTACTCATGCACGAACGTACGCATGCATTAATATACTAAGAGCATACAAACATACAGGTATACAAACATATTACTGTTCGAATACATTATAATGTGTTGGTATACTAAGCTGTTTATATAATCTATCAGTATACTAATATATCAAAACTAATTATAGTATTGATACGCATACTAGCACGTCCGCGAATATTACACTGATGTTAAATTCATCATTAAGACTGATTGAAACTTACATCGACAATGGCACTGGCATCAACACTAATTATCACTAAATATGCTAGTGTACTAATATACGAATACTGTAAAAGGCAAGTACACTGACATGTTCACATGCCATTATGCCAACATATTGATATACCTATAAGCTATTAGGGAAAATACGAATATAGTAAATGTAGTAATAGACCACTATAATAATATACTAATATACTACTACGTTAACATACGAATATCATGATACACCAATATACTAATGTACTCATGCACCAACGTACTAATATATTCGCGCAATCTTCAACTCTGCAAATATACTATTGTTCGAATACATTACTGTATTATTATATTAAGCTCAAAATGTACGAATCAATCAGTATATTCACATATCAAAACTATTTCTATTACTGATACTAATACCAGCACTTCTGTGAATAATAAACAGATACTAAAACCAGCATTCAGACTGATACTAATACTAACACGAGTACTATTACTGACATTGACATCGACACTGGCACTAACACCAGCACGAACATAATCACGAGTTCATATTTACTATTATTGATATGTATACTTTTATTCAATACTAATACTAATACTGATGCTAATACTAATACTAAATACCAATACCAATACTAGTACTAAAGCAATACCCATCCTAATATCAATACTACCACAAAACTATTACTCATATGAACACTGATACCAGGATTAGGACTACTACAAACAATGACAGCAGTACTAAGAATAGAACCAAGAACAATACATATTAATCCTAACACTAATACTAGTACTAATACTAGCTACTAATTCTAATACTCATACTCATACCAATACTAATGTCACCACTACTGCTGCTACTACTACTGCTACTACTACGACTACTACTACTACTACTACTACTACTACTAGTACACATACTTAATACTAAAACTAATACTGATACTCATACTAGTCACTAATACTAATACTAATACTCATTCTAATACTAATACAAATACCAATACTAATGCTACCACTACTACTGCTGTGCGACAACTATTGCTAGTACGACGACTACTACTATTAACATCAAGACACATACTTAATGCTAATACTAAGAGTAATACTAATTCGAATACTATTACTCATACTAAACATCCTAATATCAATACTACCACAAAACTAATACTAATGCTAACACTGATACAAGAATTTAGATCTACAAACAGTAATAGTGGTACGAAGAGCAGA